ATTACTCACTGCTAAAAAGGATTTCTTTATTTTTCCTTGAGCAGCTTCTTCCAATGCTCTACTACATCCAGTTAGATTCTGTAAAGCTATAATCTTATACAATTCCAAAACTTGTTACGATGGAATACACAGAAAGGAAATGCTTAACTCTGCTACTCATAACAATTATTATTTGACTGGGAGTCTTGAAGGCATGTTTACAGGGAACATAGGTTTCAAGAGCCACTATGTGGTGTAACTCACAGTGTGCTGGCCTTCAACTAGGGAAACCTGGTCTAAATCTCTACTCTGCCAAATCTGTTCAACCTTGGGAATTTTTTATCTCTGCTACTAATTTACTGCACTAGATAGATCACAGTGATTATACAAAAGAATGGGGAGAACTGCATACATAATCCTGGATTCCTGAGAGTAAGGTAAATTACAAATGTATAATGATAATGTACATTTGATTAACATAATTTTCTGCTGATCAAGTTCTTTAGTACCTGAAACTAGGCAAAGGCAGCCAACCAGGCAAAAGCCAAGCAGCGTGAGTAAATCCTCCATCCAGATCAGCATAGAGTTCTGCTACGTTCTCGTTGAGAATGCTTCTTATTTCTTTCCCATGTAAACAGTGACTGGCTGTCAAAATGATTAGTTCTGAAAGTGCTTCAAATAGGTCTGTCAGGCAGAAAAGGGAAGAAACAATATATCAAAAAGGAAGCATTAATGTTCATAGTAGGCAAAATAAATGAATTGAATATGTGGGCCCTTGGTATCTGCTGGGGTTTGGTTCCAGGACCCCCCATGATACCAAAAGCAGTGGATGCTCAAGTCCCATTAAATACAATGGCATAGTAAAATGGTGCCCCTTATACAGAATGGCAAAATCAAGGTTTGCTTTTTGGGATTTATATTTTTTTGAATATTTTCATGCTGTTGATCAGTAGATAAAGAATCCATGGATACAGAGGGCCTTATACATAGTCGGGGGAAGACTGCTACATAACACCAAGTGAAATATGCTGTAAGGTTTTGGTATATGGAATTAGTTATTAGCATGTTTCCATAAAGTTCTGGATCAAAAGATATGTATTTGATTTTGATAAACAGCTTAACTCCACATAGCAATACTTATTGTTATAAGCATACCAATAACTGACTTTCTAAATTGTATCTAATAATTGTAGGGTGAAGGTAATGAAAAAAAGAAGAAGCTACACTGATAACAAGAGCCATCTCTAGAGAGACATGTGGATGGCAACTTATGAATTAGAAGGCAGCTTAAGTGTCAGCAAAATCACAACACTACAGATAAGAAATACAAGGGGAAGAGGACACCTAAGTGGTAAATATATAAGCCTTCTATGATGAAAAAAGGTATGCTAATGGTATTTAAATGTTATTAAATAGTTACCAAGGCAAATTTTGAGAGAACTCCTGAACAAATTTGTCACACTGGATACCTTCAGCAGATGTTTGCAACATTTTGTTTCTCTTCTGTCTTGCCTGGGAGAGTTAAATGTCCTGGCTGAAGAAGCAGACTGAAAAAGCTCCACCTGGTACTTTGGCTAAGGACCCATAACACCTGACAAGGTAATGCCCCCTTACGTTAACCAGCCTGCGCATATTGTGGGGGTGCGAGGATCCAGCATCCCATCCAGATATGGTTGCACACTCATCAGTCCCAATTTGGATTTTTAATTGTTTTTCCTGATTGTAGTGATTCCTTCTCCAGAATGGGTCAGTTGAGATATAAGCACAGTGTTTCAAGATGCTATACTTACTCCTTTCTCCACTCTCTCCCCAAGTCTTGAAGTATTCAAGGGTTTCCTTTTCTATTATTGGTACATGGTTTTTAAATTGACTTATATTTAGTCCAGTTTTTAGCATCTTCTTTTGTTCCAAAAATACCTTCCAAAAGTAAGCAAAGCAGTAGTTACAACACTAAGAATTGCACTTAACACATGCACTTAGGCATTTTCTTGGCATACTTTTTTTTCAGTTTAGCATAAAGGCGCACAAGTGGCTAGCTGCACCACTGACTCATCACACCATCAAGTTGTCACACATCTCATGATGTGAAAGTATGACGAACACGGCAGGTGTCCAATAATGCAATGATGTAATTAAAACATACACAAACCAGAGTCCAACAAGGGGGCATGAGGTGAAGGGGGGAAGTGGGCATGTATGCGGTGCCTCCATGATTAACTTTTGCCAATGTGTCATTGGGCATACTGATGCACTGTACAGGTGGTGTATCGTGTGACTGTGTAGTCGGTCACATGGGGCATTCAATGGGATGGCAACTGAATGGGAAGAGGGAGGTAATTCCACTCTCGGGTGGTGTGTCCCTGTAATGATGCACATGAATGGTGGGGAGGCAAAAAAACAAAAAAAACAAAATGAAAACAGATGTGCAGCTTGATCCTGTATGGTGTGGACTGCCTGTGGATGTCCAGACCGCCTTCGGAGTGGGCTGCACTGACAGCAGGGTTTCCAACTGGTTTGGAAAAAACCGGGATCAGCCCGTTTTTTTCTGTCCGTCTGCTCAGACCCCCAGTGATTTTAAAACAGATAAACAGTTCTTAAATTTAACTGGATTTTTTGCTAGTGCATTAATAAACGAGTAACAAGGGAAAATACTTTCAGAAGGTAAAACAGAAACCAATAAATATTTCAAAAGAACACATTTTACAACCATCAACCTTGCACCAGAAAAACTTCTGTTTCCAAAGTCATTTGCTGGCATTGTTTTTCGGAAGCAACCTAGGTGGTGTCCAAGTACAAGCATGCTGATCCAGGTGGATTAGTATGCAGAATACTGCTGGAACATTCAACCAAATGATGACTTTGTCCTTACAGATACAATTCTATTAAATACTGATACTTGTGTCTTTACCTATTTTCGTGCACCCACCAGTTTCGGAAGCTAGTACACCCAGCCTTCTACATCTACAGATTCTTTAACCATGGATTCAACCATCCACAGCTTACAAATACTCAAAAAGTATATATAAATTCTAAAAAGCAAACCATGACATTGCCAATTTATATAAAGCCTGCCATTTACTATGTCCTATTTAATGGGACTTAAGTATTATCGAGATTTCAAATCCACAGGGGGATCCTGAAACCAAACCCCAAAGGCCCACTGTAAACTGTTTCAGGCAGTAACGGAATACAATTAGCGCCCTCATTTAAAAGTTACATTTCTAACAAGTTTAGTATAGACAGGAGGTAACCTTCTTGACTGCCTTTTGGCCACGTTTGTTCAACAAAATTAGAGGTATGAATGCTGCATCTCAGTTCAAATTCAATTAAATTATGCCGATGTACACATAGGTATGAGAGCCTAAATACCCTAAAGACACCAGATCCCATCTTGGAAGCTAAGCAGGGTCAGCCCTGGTTTGTACTTGGATGGGAGACTGCCAGCAAATACCATTACCTGTACGCTACATTTCAGAGGAAAGAACTAGTAAACCCACCACTGAATACTCCTTGCCTAAGAAAACCTTATGCAATTCAAGGGGTGGCTGTAAGTCGACAGGTGATTTTGAAGGTACAAAAAGACACAAAAGGGCAAAAAAATAAAAACAATCCCGAGTAAAAGAGATGCTACATACAAATTAAATCTTCACAATAGTCTACTATATTATGCAGGGTGTGATCTTCCAAACATACTATTTATGTTGCTCTCTCAGTGAATTTGTTATAATTTTTCCTTGAAATACGCAAATGATATTTTGCTAGTGATGGGCTTTTTAGCATCATTTTCCTTACTCTTCTTCTTCTTGGAAAAACACCACCTTTTATTAAAAAACAATATTTTCCAGGTTCAGTTCAACTAATGTAGTTCATAAAGGAGGTACATTTTGATTAATTTGTGGGGGTATTATCTCATAATATGTGGTGTTAAGTGGGTTGTGTGTGGCCAATCTCTTCACTTCACTCGATTTTGCTTTTGTCCCCATTTTTATTTCGAGTTTACATGTTCCCCTTCTACTCTCCTCCAATAACTATTTTTTTCAAAATTCTCCCCTCTCCAAAAGGATCTGAACATCCCAAGATGGCACCTCCCTTGAAATAAATGCACAAAATGATATACATATGCACCTGAGCTTCTAAAATTACAAGCAATCTCTGTCAAAGACTGTTTATTTCTGCTGACCAATGAATATGGTTCAAGAAAGGTTTGTATGAGTTTAAGATCCACAGGCTGCAATGAGCTTAGATTTGAGTAATTATGCACTGAATTGTAGCCAACTAAATGAACTCATGGGTTGGATTGAAACTTATAATGGAAATGGTATACAAGCACACTTTTAGTTAAAACAAAAACATGTGCACCAGTGGGTTTCATCCAGACCCATAGGTCCAAGCTGCACCTATGCATTCAACTGGCAGTAAGTCTTCTTTAATTGATGGGGACTTTACAAACTGTGACCTAACTTAAAACCCCATTTTTGAACTGGGATGAAATGTGACTAACTTATAGGTTAATCCTACCTATGTCTGTTGATTGTACCATTAAAACAGTTGCATCACATAACTAATTGATAGTATAAGTCACTATAGTTCATTTTAGAGTTACTAGACTGAAACCATTATATGAACTCTTTATAGTTAGTTTCAGAAATTTACTAGTTTGAAGCCATTACACAGATACCGACTGGGATCTAGTTGATGCATTAAGCGAACATAAAAATAGTTGTGCTAGTAGTTACACTTCCTTAAGAGTTTGTGTAAGTGCAGTCTCTAGTAAAGATACACATACTCACATTTCAGACAAGATAATGATGTCCTTTGCACTGTCAGCTATGTAAATGAGGAGTCCAGCACTGGTGTATATTTTTATTGCTGTTGTGTGCCTTCAAGTAATTTCTGACTTACTGTGTCCCTAAGGTGAACCTATCAACAGTTTTATTGGCAAGATGTGTTCAAAGGTTTGCCACTGCCTTTCCCTGAGACTGAGAGTATGTGACTTGCCCAAGGTCACCCAGTGGGTTTCATGGCCAAGCAGGGAATCAAACTCCGGTCCCCAGAGTCATAGTCAAACACTCAAACCGCTACACCACACTGCCTTACGGTATGGTAAAAGTGAATAGGTTCCTGGCCACTGTTAGACCCAGAAACCTTCAGCTGTCATCTGAAGACACCCCAGTATCTTGACATACTGTCTTCAAATGATTAACTCTTTCAGATACAAATCATTAATTGAAGTACAAATTAAATATAAGATATTCTGAGAAAGGGACCTAAATACCCTAAAGACATCAGATCCCATCTGACATTGGAAGCTAAGCAAGGTCAGGCATGATTAGTACTTAGATGAGAGACTGCCAAATACCAGCTGCTGTAAGCTGTATTTCAGAGGAAAGAACTGCCAAACCCACCTCTTAACTAAGAAACTCCCATGAAATTCATGGGTTCACCATAATTCAGCAGATGATTTAAAGGTGCGCACACACGCACACACACATCCTGAGAAAGGGAATCAGTGGTCTTAGAGTGGTGTTCTAATCACAGATTTACAATAATAGCTACTCTGGCTTCTAGAATTAGAATTTAATTCAATTGGCAAGAATGCTGGTGATGGGATTGTCACTGTATAATATGGCCTGCTTCTGTTGTTTTGTTATTGTGTCAAGGTACTATATGTCATTTTGTATAATTCCATTTTGATACACCAGTTAAACAAATACAAAATCGATTCATTTGACAATACACATACTGGGTTGGGAACATCATATGCTACTCCTTTGCCAAAGACAGGTGTGGTCAGACGCGAATACACATCTTCTGCATTCAAGTCTTCATTTTTACTATTGAACAGAAGCGCAGCAGCATCACTTCCCAGCAGATAGGTAAATGTCTTCCCCACCATAGTAAAGCTGAATACAGGTCCATACTGTATTTAGGGTTAAGAAATTGAAGAAAGAAGTAGGAGAGAAATGAAGAAGAATGGTATTTTAATACTTGACACCAAAAATTACAGCGAGAATTTCCACTCAAAGCCATATAAATTTAGTTAACTGAAAATATGCATGCCTGCACAAGCACAGCCATATATACAAATGCAGCAAAATGCAGATGCATTCTCTAATCCTACGCATGGTTACTTTTGATTAAACTCTACCTTAACACTTGCCCTACCTCACAAGATTGCTGTCAGAACAAAACGCCATGAAAGACTTATTATGTTGGCTTGAACTCCTTGAAAGATTCAAAGTAAATAAACTGTTATTAGTAAACAAACACAGAACTGAGCAGCAAATAATATTTAAATGCCACAGGTGACAGGCAGACAGGTCTTTCACAACAGCTAGGAATGCATCATGCTCGAAACTTATTTTATTGGTTTCTATTCTTTCACTGCTGAAAAAATTTATTGCTATTCATCATTTCTCTATTGATTTCAGTTATTGTAAGTAAGAATAATGATTTTACTAACTTATTTTACTTATGTACATTTCCAGTTCCAGTTCCTATACCCAAAATACCCTATTATTAGTACAAAAGACAATCAAATATCATCTTTATGAAGGTCAACTTTTATAAAATAATCACTCACCTTTTCATAGGCATTTTCCAAAAATTCGACAGGATTTTTCCCAAATGCAATGGCATGCCCCAAAAAGGGGATATTTGATGAAATATAAGGTGGATATTTCTACAGTAAGAGAAAGAAAGGAAAAAAAGCACAGCATGATTCTAGTTTTTTTTGGAGACAGTCCATGTACTATGACAGGTGTTGCTGAAATCCCAGCAGCCCTAGCCAACATAGCCGATGGGAAGGAACGACGGGAAGGGCACTCCAACACTATCCAAAGGATCACAGTTCCCCACTTCCACCTGAAGGCTTGCTTTTTAAATTGTACAAATCTCAGGGTTACCTCATGTGTGCCAATTCCCGTTCTCCCCGTGTTTCTCAATAGCCTTGCATTGGGCCACTGGGTCCTGGCATATTCAAAACTCACCACTTGAGTTTACTATTATGAGTGACATTCAGTACTATTTTTCTCTATACAATTCCGGGGAATATGTGGACAACGACCACCTACATATATTTTTCAGAGGGAGAAACACAGGCCCAGCTCCATCAGGCCTAGCCTAGACTAAGAGGAAGAGCCCTCCCTCCAGTCCATCTGCCATGGTCCAGGCCTCAGAAGGAGAGAAGAATAGCTGGACCTGATCCCCTTCCCCACTGCCATTCCCTTCTCCTTTCATATCACGTCTTTTTCAATTGTAAGCCTAATTAACCATTTGTAAGCCACTCTGAGAGCCATTATGGCTGAAGAGCAGGGTATAAATACTCCAAATAAAGAAATAAGTAAATAAATATTCTGCAATAGAGACTTGGCATTCCCATGGGTGCCTGCTTGCTCGACTTATATTTTCGTGCCTCACGAAATATTGTATATACTCATGTTTAAGTCTAGAATTTGTAGTAAAAAAAAATGACCCAAAAAACCTGGGGCACCTTACCTATGGGTCAATGTAAATACAATTGGATCTTCTCATTTACGGCTTTACTTTTGCATATTTGATTATTTGCAGTTTTGTTTTAATTAATATATTTCTCGAAGAATCACTAGGTCCTCCAACGCAACTCTGCCAGAAGTTAACCACAGAGTTGTGCTGGAGAAAGTTCCTAGAGAAAACACTTCTCTAGGCATTTGTAGGTTCTCCAGCATGATTCTATGATCAACCTCTGACAGATGTTGGCCATATAATTGCACTAGAGGACCTGGAGATTCCTAGAGAAGTGTTCTCTCAGGTAAAAACAATAGTGTTGTTGTTTTTTGAGGTTTTTCCACATTCATGGGGTTCCTTCACCTTTACCCCTAGTGAATGTGGAGGCAGTATTGTTCTGTACAGTGTGCCCACGCCATATGCAGGTTCGCCATACACAGACTCAAGGTCATGTGGATGGCATGCCCCAGCACTTTCAATGACGTGCATGCCTGCAGCACACACAGAGTGCAGCACGCGAGAGCACACCACCATAGAAAACAACAGGACTAGAGATCCTGCATTTTCCCCCTTATGCGGGGTGTGTGTGTTCCGGAACGGATCCCCCGCGTATATGAAGGGTGCAATGTACTTTAACTCATATATATGTGTGCATGTGTGTGTATACAGTGGAACCTTGTTATACGTGGGGGATCCGTTTCAGAACACACACACCCGTAAGTGAAATACCACAAGACCTCAAGTCTGGTTGATTTTAATGGCGGCATGCCCTGGGCGCACACACCATCAAAAGAGCTGGGGCTCGCTAACCGTGTGACCTTGAGTCTGCATATGGCAAGCCCGCGTATGGCACGGGCACGCTGTGTGTTTGTGTGCATGTATATAGGGGCCACCCCCTTTCTCTGAGTAGAATGATAAAAGGCAAAAGCTTAGTCCATCCTAGAGCACTTGAAAGAAACAATCAATCTCCTTTACTCTCTCATACATCCAACCTTCAGGATTAGCGCAGTTATGCCTGCCAGAATTAGTAAATTCTTTGGCATTGTTTTCTTTTGCTTCAATCTTTATATCCTTCATTACATGCTCCAATGTTTAACTCTTATCTTATCCAGGAATCATATCAAAATCCATAATTTTGGCCCCCAACGCTGCCCTTGATTTATACATGAGGTCAGCTTATATTTAAGTATATACAGTACAGACCTCTCATCCTGATGCTATCTTTGTATACCACACCTACACACGCACACCAGCATGGTACAGTGACTTACATATGGACAGACAAAAGCTGGGTTTAAAATCCCAGCTCTGTTTTTGTTGCTTAGCACCTTCAAGTTGTTTCCAACTCATGGCAACCTTATCAGCTGAACCTTACACTTACCAGCCAAACCCAAAGGGTGCTCAACAAGGGCTCCTTTTATCCTGGAGAGAAGTGACCAGTGGGGTGCCACAGGGTTCTGTCCTGGGCCCAGTGCTATTCAACATCTTTATCAATGACTTGGATGAAAGAATAAAGGGCATACTTATCAAATTTGCAGATGACACCAAATTAGTAGGATTAGCTAATACCCCAGAGGATAGGATGAAAATTCAAAATGACCTTAATAGATTAGTAAACTGGGGCAAAGCCCAGTTCAAAAAGGACGTTGAGAAACTGAAACGTGTCCAATCCAACGCAAAGCTGGAGAAAGTGACTAAAATGGTAAAGGGTCTGGAAACCATACTGTATGAGGAACGACTTAGGGAACTGGGTAAGTTTAGGGTTAAGAGATGATATGATAGCCCTTTTTTTTTTTTTTTTTTGGAGACATTGAGCCTTCTCTGTCAGAGAGCTCTGGTGCCACAATAAACTACAGTTCCCATGATTCCCTAGCACTGAATCAGGGCAGTTAAAGTGGACTCAATTTGCACCATTTCTGGCAGTCTGCAAAGGCCCCATGTATTTGAAGGTGTGTCATATTGAGGAGGGAGCAATAGATGCAAGCTACAGGACAAGATTCCACCTCAACATTAGGAGGAACTTCCTGACAATAAGGGCTGTTCAACAGTGAAACACTCTCCCTCAGAGGTTAGTGGAGTCTCCTTTTTTGGAGATCTTTAAACAGAGGCTGGATGGCCATCTGTCAGGTATGCTTTGACTGAGAGTTCCTGCAGGGCAGGGGGTTGGACTAGATGGCCCTTGTGGTCTCTTCCAACTCTATGATTCTGCTTGTATGATTATCATGAGGTTTTCTTGGCAAGTTTCTTCAGAGGGGGTTTGCCATTGCCATCCTCTGAGGCTGAGAAAGTGTGACTTGCCCAAGGTCACCCAGTGAGATTACATGGCCAAACCAGGATTGAAACACTGGTCTCCAGAGTCCTAGTCACACATCATAGGCATCCAAAATCAATGAGTCATAGAAACACCTGCCCACTGAAATAAATACTCTGGTCTCCAGAACAGGGTGAAAGAACAGCTTAAATATTTATCCTCTTAATACATATGCATCCTTCTACAACAGGCAAGGCAGAGGACTACACCCATCTAATTAACAGCCTCTTTTTGCCTCACCCATCTGTTTTCAAAAGGATGCTGAAGAGGATCAAGACCCCTTCCACTGGTAATAAC